GTTTTACTGTGGGAAACCTGCCACGTATCCGTTTCCAATCTGTAAATCAGAACTCGGAGAGACGGCATCGTAACAGGTCACCCCCTTTCCCCCCTCCAGCATTTCCAAACGGAGCAACTTTTGTCAACCCTGACCAGGGCTTTTGCCACTTGCTACTACCGTGCCCTAAAACGTGGGACCAAGCAGGCCGAGGGAAGTGCCCTCCACCAGAAAAAAGCACCATCCTCCGCGCCAACGCTGCAGCAGGACCCGCTGCCGCCGCCGCCCCCAGGTTGAGGGGAGGTCGGTGGGGACGGGCAGCGCCGCCCCGGCCCCGCGCAGCCCGCCTCAATGGCCGGCGCCGCGCTGCGCATGCGCGCGCAGCTGGCCGCGCAGGCGCCATGAGGCCTCTGGGCTGACTGACACCCTGACACACACAGCCCCCCCCCCCCCCCCCCCGCGCTCCCGCAGGTGCGGCCGAGGGCAGCGAGCGGAGCGGTACCGGTACCGACACCGACACCGACGGGCCGCGGTCTGCCTCGGCGGAGGTGAGTAAGGGCCCCGCCCGGCTGCCGCGCTTCGCTCGGCGGCCACGGCGTGCGCTGTTGCCATGGGAACAGTGGGCGCCGGTCGCCGGGGCCGCCCGCGGCGGGGAGGGCGAGAGGGAGCGGGGCCCGACCCGGCCCCCTCCGCCGCTGTGGGGAGGGGGCGCCGGCGGGACCGCTGGGCGGGCACAGCGCCTCGGGCAGCGCCCGGTGCCGGCGGCAGCCCGGCCCCGCCTGGCCCCGAACGCGCTTTCCCGGGGGGCTGCCGGGGAGCCCCCGGGCTGGGGGGTGCGGTAGGTCGGGCGGGGGGCTTTGCAGAAGCGGCTGGGGAGGGGGAACCTCCGGTGGGTTTCCCGGCAGCTTCCTGCGCGCCGTGCTCGGGGGAAGAGACTTTTTTCGCTGGGTTTGGGTTGGTAACGCCGCGAAGCCTGGGTCGGCTTTTACTCCACAGGTGCTGCTGGTTTGGGGAGTTTCTCTTGGCGGGCGCACTGAAACCCTTGCTCGGTGGAGGACTGCAGGCTCAATTTCTCGTGACTTTGTTCTCATTTCTTTTCGATAGTGATTTCTCTGCTGCAAAATTTTGCCAAGTGTATCAGGTGTGATTGATGAGTTACTGATGTTTTAAATTATTTCCAATAATAACCATTATTAGTTCACTCTTACTAAACCTGTATTTGGGTGCTAACTATTTTAGAGGTTTGCTTGGGCAGACAGAACCTGGATTCAGAGCTCAGTGAGCGGAGTGTTCACAGCTTGAGCACAGGGTTTCTCCTCGCTGTACTTAGTGGTTGCAAGCATACCCACTCTGTACGCTAGCCAGTAAATGACACTGGTTTTGAGATGGGAGATAGGATGGCACAGTCAGCGTGGTGCCACATCTGACGGAGTCAGCCGTGCTTCTCTCATGTGCCAACTGACCTGGGATAAGTGGTGTGAGGGTGCAGCTGTCTTGCTTCTGGAGATAGCTACATCTAACGTGGGCTTCTCTGATCCTGTACCACTATCTACCGCTTTCAAATCTTCCTGTACAGCAAAGACCAGACCTCTGGAGTAAACAACCAGGGAAAAAAAGACAAGAGCCCAAGCATGGCTTGTCAGACATGGGTGTAATACTCTTCTACTTTCCAGTAGAGAGTCAGAGAGGAGCTCTTCATCTGTGCAAGTTAAAGGCTACCTGGGAAATGGTGGCAGCAGCGGGGGACAAGATCTGTGCATACCAGTTGTGCTGTACCCATTGACACTGCACTATTCCCTTTATCTGTCCCCTGCTGGGATTGGGGAGCAAAATGGGAATGCTGCTGGATTTTCAGAAAGAAGTACTAATAATTGGAATTATTTCTTATTTGCAACTAAGATACTTTATTTTTAAAAGGGTATAGAGTGTATGGAAAAAACAGAAAGTCATACAAATAAATACAAAACCAGGCAGGGCTTAGTCTTGTATAAACAATGAAAAACAAGGGTAAAACCAGATTGTGTACTGAGCTGCCAGTGCAGTTGTTTCCCTTCCATTCTTGTGCTGCTCCTTCATCCAAAACTTACGCTTTCTGCTTTTTGCACTCATTTGTTGTGCCGTATTTTAAATTAGTCTTTGACATTGCAATTGAATGATTCAGGTACTTTATGTTCATCAGAGACAAGAAAGCTTCTGGTGTCTGGAGGGTTTTTTCCTTATGCGCAGATCTATGTAGTAGTTTTCTAGGAAGAGAGCTGGCATAGTATAGCTGAAGGTGCTTCCTCAAAGCTTCTAGGGTGTGGGATGCTGAGGAGCGGATGAAACTTCTTTCTTGAGTGCTGCTGCAGCAGAGCAATTGCTTGATGCTTAAATGTTTCAGCTTTAGGCATTATAAAATAAAAGAGTGCAAATCGCCTTTCTGTGTCTTTGAGAAGCAGACAGTGGTTGTCCTGTGATGGCACGGTAGCCAAACTCATTCAGATAACTACTCATGTTTTTTAAATGCTTGCAAGAATGAGTAAGCTTTCTTATCCTATCATATATATATATATACACATCTCATATTTGATGGCACTGCTTACTTGTTTCTCTGTGTTCTGTTACGTTTTCTGGCTAATAACTGCGGGATATCAATTAATACTATATTGGTATTGCATCCCTACCACAATTCTGAATGTGTATAATACTACCCTACACCAACACGATGAAGTGTTAAGGCTCTCATCGGGTCAGTGGTAAGTCTTAAATTCCACTCACTGCTGTCCCCCCTGTGACAGCTCCAGGCTCGCTCCGTCCCTGCCTTACCCCGGCGAGCGGGGGCTGCTGCCCGCCAGCCTGGCTGCTCCTGCAGCTGGGAAAGGCTCTGCTCTCCCCCTCTCTGCTGAGGTAGCAATGCAGCAGTGAGCTCAGGCAAACATTCAAACCAAGTCATAGGTTCCCTTTGCAACATTATTAAAACTTTGTTTTTAAGGGGCTGGAAGGGCTAACAGTGCCCAAATAGTAGTAATTAATTAATTAAGCTCATAGTAGAAAAGTTCCTCTTCCAGTTTAAAAGAAATAGGTAAGAGGTGAAAGCTTCAACAAAAAGTTACTATAATGGAATTTGGGTCTCAACTATGGCAAATGTACTTCTAGGATAGAAAAGGTACAGTTGATAGTAGAACTAACAAAATCGAAAACTGATGGTGCTGTTCCACCGAAACACATCATATCTCTCAGGTTGCTTCTTAGTTTAATTATGAAGAACATACACGTAAATTCCATAAAATACACATATCAATGTCAGAGCACAGAGATTTAAGAACTAAAGAAAATGGTGTTCCTCAGATATTAAATGTAAGATGTGAGATTACTTGAGAAAATTTATTTTAATATTTAGCAAAGTGGATGGAAATATATAGACCAGAAAAGAAGAAATGTGAATTAATTCAGATTTTGATTTGTAGAAGCACATTGATAATGTCTTAGTATTTATTCACTCCTGTTGTTTCCATATATGCTGGATAGTAACTGACACATGGCCCGCGCAGACGACCTTCCACTTAAAGGTCAAAATCTTGACTCCCAGTAGCTGGGAGAATAGGGAATGGTAATCTACCTTCCCTATTCAGTGAGGAATGGCTGTATAATTGCTTCAAACAGACTGCAGCAGTGGAATTCCATACTTAACTCTTTTGAATCATGTTGCAATAGAGGGAATAGTAGGGAGCATAGAGAGCCAAATTCAGTCACAGTGAAGAAAAGGGGTGTATTAGTGGCAGTCAGAAAGATTAAAAACACTGACAGGCTCAGGCTCCTGATCTGTTCTTGTGTTTTGTAATTATGCATTTTTTAGGGAAAGAGGTTGTTGCACTGTTCCTTAGCATCCAATTTTATCTTATGTAGTTCAGCTGAAGTGGTTGGGTTGTGTGTTAATTAAAGAAACTGTGCCAGAATGTACAGGCTCTCGAAGAAAGAACATAAGAGGCAGTTGGAAATGTAAAAATGCAGAACAGGAAGAAGTGAACTAAGGAACTAGAGAAATAGGGGGTTTTTTCTTCGTAGTTGAGAAATAACCAAGATGGCAGTGTCTGATCTAGTGTTGGTTCATTGTCATAAGTTATATGAGAGGATGGAAGTTACCAGATGGTCTGAGTCACAGACAGCGCAGAAACATATTTTTCTTTTTAGGTAAGCTTGAAAAGCAGAAAAGGAATTTTGAATGGTTTAAGGCCTATGATAATTTTGCTGTAAAATGACAAGGATAGTATCCACAGAGAACTGCACCAGGATAGCAATTGATTTTGGGGGGCTCAAGAGACGATGAAGCAAGTCTTTCACTGCCCACTGCGTTTGCCAGAAGATGCAGCAGGACAGAACACTGATTAAAAGTTTGGGTTGATAATTTATCTTACTTTAGTATTATCTTTGCATGTGCTTGAGGGTGAATTGGAGAGGCATTTCTCTCAGAAAAAAATTAATTACTTGTTCTTCATTGTCTCTGCTTATCAATTACTGGTAACTGTGCTTCAGTTTCTGATAATAATACCTGTTTGACTTATTAGGAAGCTGCACGTGGTAAGATGGTTAGCTTATATTGTGTATTTCCTAAGTTCATTGGAAAGAAAGTGTTTCTCTACAGCATATTATTGACTTTCTGTGATGTTTTATAAGTAATCACGTGTTAAGAAACAGGTTTTCTGTACTGTTGAAGAGTGCCACATTTGGCCCAGAAAGCACTGTGGGTACTGATTGTTGTATATTTTAGCTCCCTCTAAAAACTAAAGGTTCTCCATGTCAGATGCTTTCTTCTCTTCTTCAATATTTTGCTACAGAACTGAGAAACACAGGGAAGTGCAGTATCAATGAGCTTTATTTTCTACTACTTCAGCACTGTCTAGGATTTTGTTGTAATATCATTTTTAACTACATTACAGTAGCATAACCACTGATGGATTAATAGTTTGTAATTTAAAACTAGGAGTATATTCTGTGCCTTCCATGTATGTTGTACACTGTTCTTCCTGTGCACTACTTTGCAGAGGAATGCAAGCTTCAAAGAATAACAGTACAGAAAAGGCAGAACCATTCTACAGGCTTTCAGTTCCAAGGCAGAAGACCAGTTCAGAGATTATAAATGAAGCCAGAAACGCTCTACGAACACTAAGAACTCGGAGACCGTTTACACCTACAGAGGATGAAAGGAAACTTTTTGGAACTGGATCCTCACGAGCTCGTCAAAATAGACCCCCTTCAGTTTTTAGGTACTGTGGCTTTAAGATTTTTTCAAATGTCCCTTAGCAGCAAGAGATTTGATTCTGTAATTATGTTTCCAGTGATTTTTTTCCTATGTTAATCTGTATTCCTAATCACATCCTTTGAGTTCTTCTAATGATCCTTACTGTTGGTGTTAATCTACATGACCAGGAAGTTCCTGTGGATTAGAGCTACCACAGGCAGTTATTACACTAGTTTTGTATGTGGAGAATAGTATAGAAAAATGGTCTGTAACTCATCTTTTTCTTAAGACAATGTATGCTTTTAATTGAGCTGGTCTTTAGCTTTTCCTTGAAACTGTGAAAGCTAGCTTGTTTTCACATAAACTGTATGCTAGATCTTTTTTTCAGAGTGTTCTTAGATCTTTTTAAATACAAAATTTAGGTCTTGAAGTTTGAAATGGTCATTTTTAAACAAAATTTATACTACTACAAAATTATTTCTCTGTAGAGTTTTGTTATGTACTATAATTCACAGAGCTCAATAGATCTGTCTCCTGTGACAAAAGAGGAAAAAAAAATACTAGTTTTTTTTTTTAATCCACTTCCCAGTAATTTTTTAGCTCTCCTTATATGCAAATTCTGTAGTAACTGTAGGGAGGAGATATGCGCTGTATTTGTAATGTTAGGTGTCAGGCATGGCAGAAAGAATGGTGAAACATGTTTGAATGGCCATACAAATAAGTAAGTGTCCATGCTGTTTTCATGGCAGCATGACTTGAGGCACTCAATGTATCCAGTATGCCTAACTGCATAGTGTTGTGCCCTTACAGAAGGCGAGAGCCTGGGAGTGACTTGGCTTTTTGTTGGTGACCAGGTAACAACGTCCCTCTGGCTGACATCTGTGCTTGTTCTGTCTGTGCTTCTCCTGCGCATGGGAAGGAGCATGCTCATGCCTGCACAAACCCTGGGTTTTCTGCACTGCAGTGTTCTGCAGCTCGTGTCAGGTAGCTTGGGCACTAACCATAATTGGGTTTGTGCATGAATTTAGGCTTATCTTAGAGAATTGTTACAGATATGTATGAAATAAACTATCATGGCAGGTGTGCAGGTGATCTTGTAATTCTTCTCCCTTGATGCTGCTGGATTCCCAGATATCAAAGTCAAATAACATTCCTGGAAGAAGAGTGATAACGTAAAAGTGCTTGGTCACTCCTTTCTTCCTCCTTTTCACCATATTCATTGGCAAAGGGAAGAAGCATGCAATTAAAAAAAAAAAACAAAACCCAAACAAAAAAACCCCACAGAAAACAAAACACTGGGTCTGCTTTATTCATATTATGTTTAATTTCTTTATGCTAGTCTTCATGCATCCAGTTTTGATTTGACTGAATCAAGACCAGTGTCTGGTGTTCGTCTTATTCCACTGGATCATGTGAGTACTCTGGAAATGACTCATGCAATACTGACATAAAAATATGTATATTGGTAGTGTTAGGAAAAGATATGGTTTTAAATAGGTTGGAGAGAAACAGAAGCCTGTTGTAATGTTAGTCTGAGACTTGTAAAGTCAGTTTTGTCTATTTTTTTCCAACAAAAAAAACCTGAAGAGAATTTAAACTATTTAAATATTGCTGTATTGGATTGTAATTCTAAGTGATATTAGCAAGAATCGGAAGATGCATAATGGAATCAGCTTTCCTGTGTAAGATTACTGAAATAGAAAAGGTCATGAGCCAGCAACCTTTCCTTGCTGCTAAGAAGGTGTTTGATCGGCAACCAACCCCCGCAGCTGGTCACCCTCCCTTCCCCCTCCCCACCTGGGAATGGGGGAGGGATTAGAGGGGTGAAGGGAGACTCACAGGCTGAGATAAGAACAGTTTAATAATGGCAATGAAATGAGAACAATAACGATGATGGGGGGAAAACAAAAAGAAATATATAAACAGGCAATGCACAACGTAATTGCTCACCACCTGCTGACCAACACCCAGCCCGTTCCCGGCCAGCGACCCCGAGATACCAAGATCCCACAATTGCAATCCCGGAAGCGAGAGAGAGAGAGAGCTCCTTCCCAACCACCCCTCCTCTATACAGTGAGCATGACGTGCCGTGATATGGAATATTTCACTGGCCAGTTAGGGTCAGGTGCTGTGGCCGTGCTCCCTCCCTGCTCCCTGTGCCCTTGCGCACGGGCAGGACATGGGGAGTCGGAGAGTCCTTGAAGTCTCGGTAGCAACTGAAAACACCAGTGTGCTATCAGCATTCTTCCCATACCAAACCCAAAACTAAATCCAAAACACAGCACTCATCTAGTCCCTGAAAAGGAATATTAGCTCTATTTCAGCCCAAACCCAAGACAGTATCCACCCCTTATTCCATCTCATTTACGTTATGCTCAAGTTCCATATTACCCAATACAGTCTAATTGATCGTTGTCCTTTCTCCTGGGTTTTAGGCATGTGCACACAGACATCATTCCCTCAGTCACTGGGCCATCACTGCAGAATGTATCATAAGTTCATTTGGTTCATAACTTTGCGTTCCATCTGTCATAATAGTCTTTTAAGGCGGGAAGGGTGATTCTTGGTCAGTAGGGAATAGGTGACCAGGTGACCTTGCAGAAGGAAGGCGTGCAGTCCCTGTTACAGTTGGAACGGGTGGCTGATGCATCCGACACTGTCTGTATTCATGGTCTATGGGAGTCGCTGGGCATCGGTTGCTGAAGCCAATCCTTACTTTGAGTTTATGTGTTCCTTCATGAATGCGATGCCATTATATAATATGTGTCAATCATAGCGATGCATTGATAGGGCTGTTTGGTGATTGACCTAATACAGTTCAATTTATTGGCTATTTTCACCTAACGTTAAGTCCCCCTGAGGCACACATCGGACTTCCCCATTTTTCTGCATTACCCACCAAGTGCACCCGGGTCCTTGTGCAAAGGTAATTCCACGTATGGGCTTACCTTTACCTGAAGTGGGAATAACCCAGACAGTCTTTCCTAGCATGTCGTTAAGGTGTACTACTGGGACTTTATCCCCATCTACAGTACGCAGAAGGTTGGACTGGGCAGGGCCAGCCTGGTTGGTAGATCCTCTAGTATTGACTAACCAGGTGGCCTTTGCTAAATGTGTGTCCCAGTGTTTAAAGGTCCCATCTCCCATTGCTCTCAGCATGGTCTTTAGTAGCCAATTGTACCGCTCAATTTTCCCAGAGGCTGGTGCGTGATAGGGAATGTGATCTATCCACTCAATGCCATGTTCTTTTGCCCAGGTGTTTATGAGATTATCTCGAAAATGAGTGCCATTATCTGACTCAATTCTTTCCGGGGTGCCATGCCGCCACAGGACTTGTCTTTCAAGTCCCAGAATAGTGTTCCAGGCAGTGGCATTGGTCAAGCATATGTTTCCAGCCATCCAGTAGTTGCTTCTACCATTGTAAGCACGTAACGTTTGCCATGTCGAGTTTGTGGGAGCGTGATGTAATCAATCTGCCAGGCCTCCCCGTATCTATACTTTAACCATCACCCTCCATACCAAAGAGGTTTCAACCTCTTAGCTTGCCTGATGGCAGCACAGGTCTCACATTCATGGATAACCTGTGATATAATGTCCATAGTTAAGTCCACCCCTCGGTCACGAGCCCATCTATATGTTGCATCTCTTCCTTGATGACCTGAGGCGTCATGGGCCCATCGAGCCGTAAACTTTTCGCCCTTATGTTGCCAGTCCAGATCCACTTGAGCTACCTTAATTTTAGCAGCTTGGTCCACTTGATGGTTGTTTCGATGTTCTTCGGTCGCTCGATTTTTGGGTACATGAACGTCTACATGACGTACTCTCACAGACAAGTTCTCTACCCGAGCAGCAATATCTTGCTGTAAGTTGGCAGCCCAGATGGGTTTGCCTCTACGCTGCCAGCCACTTTGTTTCCACTGCTGCAGCCACCCCCACAGAGCATTTGCCACCATCCGTGAGTCAGTGTAGAGGTAAAGGACTGGCCATTTTTCTCTCTCAGCATTATCTAGGGCCAGCTGGATGGCTTTCACTTCTGCAAACTGACTGGATTTGCCTTCTCCTTCAGCAGCTTCTGCGACCCGACGTGTGGGGCTCCACACAGCAGCCTTCCACTTCCGATGTTTCCCTACAATGCGACAGGACCCGTCAGTAAACAGAGCATATCTCTTCTCATTATCTGGTAGTTCATTATATGGTGGTGCCTCCTCAGCACAGGTCACCTCTTCCTCTGGTGACATTTTAAAATCTTTGTTTTCTGGACAATTTGTGATTACTTCCAATATTCCTGGGCGGCTGGGGCTTCCTATTCGAGCCCGCTGTGTGATGAGCGTGACCCACTTACTCCACGTAGCATCAGTTGCATGATGTGTCGAGGGGACCCCTCCTTTGAACATCCAGCCCAGTACTGACAGTCGGGGTGCCAAGAGGAGCTGTGCTTCTGTACCAATCACTTCTGAAGCAGCTCGGACCCCTTCATATGCTGCCAGTATCTCTTTTTCAGTTGGAGTATAATGGGCTTCAGATCCTCTATATCCTCGACTCCAGAATCCCAGGCGTCGACCCCGAGTCTCGCCTGGTGCTCTCTGCCAAAGACTCCAGGTAGGGCCATTCTCCCCAGCTGCAGTGTAGAGCATGTTTTTAACATCTTGTCCTGCCCGAACCGGCCCAAGGCTTACTGCATGAACTATTTTGTGTTTAATTTGTTCAAAGGCCTGCTGCTGCTCAGGGCCCCATAAAAAGTCATTTTTCTTCCGGGTCACTTGATAGAGAGGGCTTACAATCTGACTGTAATTTGGAATATGCATTCTCCAGAAACCCACAACACCTAGAAAAGCTTGTGTTTCCTTTCTGCTGGTTGGTGGAGACCTAGCCGTTATTTTATTAATCACATTAATCGGAATCTGACGACGTCCATCTTGCCATTTAATTCCTAAAAACTGAATCTCCTGTGCAGGGCCCTTGACCTTACACTGCTTTATGGCAAAGCCAGCTTTCAAAAGAATTTGCACTATTTTTTCCCCCTTTTCAAAAACTTCTTCTGCTGTATTTCCCCATACAATGATGTCATCGATGTATTGTATGTGTTCTGGAACTTCACCCTGTTCAAGTGCAGTGTGGATCAGTCCATGGCAAATAGTGGGACTGTGTTTCCACCCCTGAGGCAACCGATTCCAGGTGTATTGGACACCCCTCCAGGTGAAAGCAAACTGTGGCCTGCACCCTGGTGCTAAAGGGATTGAGAAGAAGGCATTGGCAATATCAATTGTGGCGTACCACTTGGCTGCCTTTGACTCGAGTTCATACTGAAGCTGCAGCATGTCTGGCACAGCAGCACTTAGCGGTGGTGTGACTTCATTCAGGCCCCAATAGTCCACTGTCAGTCTCCACTCTCCATTAGACTTCTGCACTGGCCATATGGGGCTGTTAAAGGGTGAACGAGTCTTGCCGATCACCCCTTGGCTCTCGAGTTGACTAATCAGTTGGTGAATGGGAATTACAGAGTCTCTGTTGGTGCGATATTGCCGTTGGTGCACAGTTGTAGTAGCAACTGGCACCTGTTGTTCTTCAACTCTCAGCAGCCCCACAGTGGAAGGATCCTCCGACAGACCAGGCAGAGTGGACAGTCGTTTGATTTCCTCTGTCTCCAAGGCAGCTATACCAAAAGCCCACCAGTAGCCTTTTGGGTCCTTGAAATACCCTCTCCTGAGGTAATCTATGCCAAGAATACATGGGGCTTCTGGGCCAGTCACGATGGGATGTTTTTGCCACTCATTCCCAGTTAGGCTCACTTCAGCCTCCAACACAGTCAGCTGTTGGGACCCCCCTGTCACTCCTGAAATACAAATAGGCTCTGTTCCTTTAAAATTTGATGGCATTAGGGTGCACTGGGCACCAGTGTCCACCAGAGCCTTGTACTCCTGGGGGTCAGATGTGCCAGGCCATCGAATCCACACAGTCCAGTAAACCCGGTTGTCCCTCTCCTCCACCTGGCTGGAGGCAGGGCCCCTCTAGTATCCATTATCAATGAAGGGGTTAGTGTAGTCTGTGCGGGTCTCAGTCTCATCCCGGTTACTTACTTCTTGTAAATACGAACCAGGAGTCCTCCTCATAGGAACAGCAGCCAAGTCAACCCTCCTGCTCAGTCTGGGCAACTGATTACTGGAGACTGGAGCAGCATTTCTCTTGAAAGAACCTTGATTTTTAGCCATTCTTCCTTCCAACTCTTGAACTCGCTCTCTTAGAAGGTAGGTAGGTTTCCTATCCCATTTCCTCATGTCCTCTCCATGGTCGCACAGGTAATACCATGGGTCTTGCCGTGGTGTATACTGTCTCTCTTGAGTAGGGAACCGTCTGCTCCTGATAGCTGAGACTTCAGTCCATGCAGGCGGAGAGTAAGACATGTCCTCTTTGA